CGAAGCCAACTTATCACTGCCAATTCTCTCCACTCTAAAGGCCCAGTCTGAGATGAAGCTGAGCGGGAAAGAAGGAAGTCGAGAGGTCGAGCTGTTGCTGAAGGCTCTGTCTGGGGCAAGTCCCCTCAATCCTGAATGAGCCAAGTCCTACGACTTGCTTCTTATGAAGAGATGGAGGTTTCAAAAAGGACCACTTCGAGGTCAGGTTCGAGGACTACCAACAAGAGCCTTGATTGATACCTTGGCGTGAGATCGACGCCGACGGTCCAAGCTAAAGTTTTTTGCCCAGTTGCCTACCGAACGCTGAACATAACGCCAATTACTGAGCAGTGCATGGACTGTGGGGAAAAATGCTACATGAATTATAGAATTTTCCTGTTTTTTATACTTTTTTCTCTTACTTATTGAACTAGTTTGTAATATTTTTGCTATCTGAGCTTTCTTTTTGAGCCGATTGTGCCCCATTTGTAATTCGAACAAAGAGTTTCCTGTCAGCAGCGAAGTCCTTATTTAACTTGAAATAGTTCTTTGTTCTGTGAGTGCATTTACTCTTTGCTTTGCTAATATGTTTACTGTTTTCCTCTTTATGCCTTGCATGTTTCGTATTTGTTTCTCCATTTTTACTTGGATATTTTTTGTACTTTCTTCAAAGTATACCTTAATGTATAATAACTTCGGGGATAAAACATTCTCGGTATAAACCTTGACTGTTTGCCTTCGGCCAACCAATGGAAACCCGACTAACCACTTAAAAGTTTAAATTATTTTTACAAATTGTACATTGTTCAGTAAAGCATTGCCTTTTACCCTCCATTATACTATCTTCGATTAAGGACATCACCCTTTCCAAGCTTTGACAACCTTGGCTGGTTCCTCGGGTAATCATGTATCTCAGATACTTTATTTCATTAATCTACTCGCGAACTTGCAACTTGTAATTCCTGCAGTTTCAACAGTGTTAGCCCAATTTTTTAAAAAATTAGAAAATTTCAAACAAGTCCCAAGCTTCTTGCTCTTAAGTTTATTCTATCATTTTCCTGCTCTCTGCCCCCTAATTGTGAACTAAGTTCCACTTATGTTCAGCATTAAGCCACGTTGTCTATTGGTCTTTTTGCGAAGTCAGTTTCAAACAAAGATTAGCCGAGGTGTTTCAAACCTTTGCTTCCTCTTAATTTAATTGAAATGAGTTTTAGTTCCATTTTGAGTTATGCCCCTGCTGACATGGCAAGCTCCAGGTTAACTTCAATTAGTTTACACTCTATCTATATGCAAGTATTAATTCAACGTCTGTCATATAATACACGTCTAACGGTTCATTTGTCATGTTTCATTCAAAAACATCGGCCAACTTAGTTTCAACTCTATAATATTGCAAGACTTACTATTCAAAACTTGCCATATAATACGTTCTATGTCATATCGTTATGCTTCATTAAGAAAATATCGCCAACTTAGTTTCAAACTCTATTTATAAGCAAGGTATAATTCAACTTCTGCCATATAATAAGTCTAAGTAATTCGTCATGTTTCATCAGAAACATTTGTCGTAGGACTAGTTAGTACTATCGTACAAATTTCAATTCAAAATAAAACTAACAATTTCTATTACTTTCAAGTTAATAAAATTTATGACAAACTGTGCAGAAACAAAAAGACAAAATGATAGAAAAACCTGTTCAACGTTGCAGTGTTCTCAGGAGTCTTAGGGCATACTCCTTTGCCCTCAGTGTCTTTTAAGCCATATTGCCCCATTGTCGGCAACCGAGAAGGATGATTCTATTTAGGGCCACTCCCAGTTTGCGGCCTAGTTTCCCTCCCTGGGATCCTTCTTGTTGTTGACGACCCTTTCTCCAAGGACCGAGGTCCCCAACCTTGAAATCTCTTTGGGTTGACCTTTGGGCGTTGTAAGCCCTAGCCAAGTTTGTTTGCTGGTCATGCCCCAGCAAATTGCGCCTCTTTCTCTTGTCTGATCCCATCCAAGATTGTTCTTATTGGATGCTTCTCTCTGACATTGCCCTGAGGGAAGCTTTGAGATGGAGTACAAGTTCTTGATTTTTGGACTTTGCACAGAAGCTATTGATTTAGCTATATCAACACTGTGTACCATTATTCTATTTGTTATTGGCTCTTGCGGATCCTAAACCCCTTGGTGATGATGTTTCTCCATATGAAATTCTTCACATCAATATCTCGAATCTTCGAAGGGTTCAGCTTCTACCCACTTTGTGAAGTAATCAAATTGCTACCGGCAGAAACTTCCTTTGCCCAGTGCTTAGGCAATTTGCTCAACAAGTCCATTGCCCCCTGGGAAATGGGCCAATGGATGGATACTCGGGTTCAAATCTGCTGCTGGTTGATTTTATCAAAAGGTTGCAACTTTTGACACTTTTCCATTTTCTGAAATCAGGCTTCCAGCTCCTCTGCAATTGTATGCCTCCAATATCCTTCGGAATATGGCTTATATGGCTAAGTGGATCTGCCCCCAGGCATGGCCTTCCAGACTCCTTCATTCGAATCTCATACAAGAAAGTCTTTCAACTTGCGGAGGGATGAATGCATCTCAAAGGGCCCCAGGTAAAGGACCCTTCTGTAGAGATGCCTTCTGATGTAGGTCTAAACCCTAGGTCGGCTTCAGTTTTTGGTCTGTGTGCCTCTTTTTCGAATCATCTGGCAAGCTTGCCGTCCTCTTAGGGAAATATCACTATTACATCCATCTACTTGGACCCATCTTCACACACACTGCTTTGTACTCTGTGATCAGCCGGTTATCATACTTGGGCCACTAACAAAATAACTCGACCATTATTGTCCTTGCCTCCCCTGAATTTTATTGCACTAAGCTAGGTCAATCCCAAGCATCGGCATGACTTATTATCATCTCAGCTAAACTTGTTATTAGCTTAACAAATCCAGAACAAGGCTAGCAGTCTAATAACTTCTTTGGAACATTAGGCTTATCATCTTTCCATTTCGAGGCCTGCATTATCACATGTTGCCTTATTCACAATAAGTTGGGAGCACAGAAGACTACCACCTCATCGGCTTCCATCGCTGTCGGCTAACCTCAACCCTGAGATTAGCTGCCTCATATCTCTACTTCTATTTTTTGAGGCCTTTGAACCCCAAACGAATAGATTGCCTATTATTTGCCTATCTGGCGTACTAACCACTACTCCTGCCCCCGCTCCTTAACGGGTTTTACTTCCATTCACAAACAGGCAGAAGGAGTCGTCGATGTAGATAACACAAGGGCTTTTGGTTCTCTACCTTCTTCGTGACTATTCTGATGTGGGGTTTTTGTTTCCCAGCTGGCGTCTTTTTCTTGTTTCCCCTGGCATACCCAAGTCGCGCTCACCGGAGCCCAACGTGGGATGGCATCAGGTGTGTGAACTCGGCCACAAACGTCGGCCAGAAAACCTGGCCTTTAATTTTCGTTCTGGGCCTAAACTCTAAGTCATTATTGGCCAAAACTACTGCGCCATCTAGTACCCAGCTGTCAGATCACCTGGATGGTGATGGATCTCTATATCATAGTCTTTTCATAAATCTCTAGCCATCGCCATTGTTCTTATATTCAGTTCTTCTGTCGTAAACATCTATTAAGACCTTTTTGGATTAGATATGTAAATCTCCCAGGGTTGCACCGTAGAGATAATTTGACGCCAGATTTTTGAGGGCAAAGATCACCGCAGCCCAAATTCGAACATGAGTCAGGTAGTTCTTCTCATGAGTCTTTAATTATTCGCGAAGCATACAGTATAATGACTTTTTCCGTTTTGCCATGAGAACGCAACCCAAACCCATTGTATTAACGGCGTCACATATAAATTACGAACCATCTTCTCCTTTAGGGCCTCAGCAGTGCTAGTTATAAGGGGGTGCTAACACAAGTCAATTTTTTTAATTCTGAAAGCAACGCTCCGGTTGTCATGTCAATTCAAAGGGTGTGTTTTTCGAGTTAGCTGCGGTCAAAGGTGATGCTTATTTTCGAGAATCTTGCACAACATTTGGTATAGCCAACGAGAACCAAGAAACTTCGGGATTTCTGCACTTAGTAACGGTCATGGCCAGTTCCATTATTGCTGCAACATTCTTTTGGGGGTCATCTGAGATAGCCAATTATTTGTAATGACGTGACTTAGAATGTTACACTACGTGTCCAGGAATTCGCATTTCTTCAACTTGCATAAGTTTTCGTGATCACGTTTAGTGTTTGCTAGAACCCCGTTCGCAAGTGCTGCTCCATGGGCCTCTTGGTGACTTGGAGTATATGGAGGATGTCGTCAATTGAAGACGATGCGAACTCATCAATATGGGTTTGAACATCTGGTCATAGAGGTCCAATGAAGGCACTGCTGGGGCATTTTGTTGACGCCAAAAGGCCATGACAAGAAACTCGTAGTGCCCGTAACGCGGTTCTTGAACGGCAGTCTTTTTGATCTTTTCCGTTCTTGACTTTTAGTGGATGGTAAGCCAGAACGCAACGTCAATTTTGGCGAATACCTGGCGGCACCTTGAACGTTGACTCGAACAAGTCATTGATT